AGTCTGAAATCTGAATAAACTATCTCACATTTCAGAGATTCAACTAGCACGATGAAATCGAGAAATAACATAACAACTAACAATTCTTAACAAGGATAGACATTCTTAGGTTTAGGAAATACCAATAAGTTGGCTACATGCGTCAGATAGAAAATATTCACCTGAATATTGGACCTCTGTAGACTGAAGAACTGGGACAAATTAACTGAGGATTTAAGATAATAAGCATTATAGATGTCAAACTTGGAACTATGAGCACCTTTCTCAGAAACTCTAGTCAAATTGCAACAAAGAGGTAAAGCCTGGTGTTGCGGCATGTGGGTTCTGCATGGTGGTTGAAAAAGCATGCAAATTTCAACCTTTGAAATTTGACCTTTGAAATTTGGTTGCATGGGAAATCTCATAACAGCCCAATTTTGTTGAAAAATTGGAAGTCTCGTGACAGCCTTTGAAATGGAAATTTGGTTGTTGCAACTTTGTCCATGCAACATTTATTGTGTATGGTTGGATAATGACTTTAGAGCCCATTGCATTCATTGTGGCTGGTTGGCATTTGGCTATAAAAAGTCATTTGGCCATTCGGTAAATCACACCAAGAGAACAATCCAAAACAAAGTGAGCTCTAAAAAATACAAAAGTTTTGTGAGTATTTTGGGTGAGGGTGAGCAACAGCAGAGTGGTTAAAATTATTTGCTAAAATTATTTGTTGAGTGTGTTTTTGAGTGTGTCTCACATTTAAAAATACTGTAAGTAAGATTTGAGTGTAATTGGAGATTAGGTATTGGGTATTTTTTTGAGAGTACCATAAATTGTATTTTTCTATTTTAATAGTGAATTTTTCTTTATGAGTGCCCGTGAACATATGTTTAATTAAATTGGAGTTGAACCACATAAATTTTGTCTTTTTTGTGGTAATGAATTTTTTTTATTCTATTAATTTCTTAATCTTGTGATGAGTTAATCAAAATCTTAAGCAATTTGTTCTAACGCCTAGCTTTTTCACACAAACCTTCATTAAAACTTCCGTGGGAAACATACCTTCCCCTTCAAATGTCACAGGACCCAACGAAGCTGAAATGGCAACCTTTTCTCCTGACTCACATGTCCTCCGCAAGACTACATCTTGTGACTGTGACGAATCCCAGTCGAGAGTGAAATCTCCCAAAGAACCAGTTTGGTCACCCTAAACCTGCAAACTTACAGTTTTAAGCATAAGCTTACCATCATTGAATAGAAGTCCAGGGCATAATCTAATAGATATCTAAACTTCAGGATAAGCTCCACTCAACTCTCTAAGAAGCTTCAGTGTGGCAGAACGATCGTACATCATTAAATGGATCAATTTTGTTCAATTCAATATATTAACTACCAAATCAAAGCCCCATTCTGTCAAGGAACGCTAACAAAAATAAATGAGGAAAATGTAAAGGGATAATACATAAGCAATCCTTAAATGTAGGATAATCAATTATGGTTATAAGCTTCTTAGCCTAAAAACATGGAAGAGCAAACAAGCTCTCAATTTCAAGGAAGAAAAGCTTCCAAACAACTCAATAACCGAACTTTGACAGAAAAAGTTTTCTTGCGACAATAATTTGATAATTAATGACTCAAAATTCATAATCCCAGTCTGATCAAGAACACTTTAACATCACATTGTTGGAAAACAAACATAGCTCCCAACTTACAGGAAACGCATCCAACAGGTCCTCAAACATCATGTGATAAAAATGGTTCTCTTACAACAATAATTTGAGAATCATTTTAATGCAAAAAAAGAAAAAAAGAAAAAAGAAAAACCCATTACATAAAGTAAACAACTTGTAAATTACCAGATTAATTTTCCATGAAAAAATTACCGACTTTTTCATTCTATATGCATCATTTTTTCCTTTTTTGAAACGAGGTAATTGTACAATACAGACCACTAGGTGTGGGGGGAATGGGAACTAAGACGATGGGATTTGAACTTAGGTTAGTGCCATATCACAAAAGCACTAGGAGACGAGGGTGTCTCAGCAAAATATAGAAGCCAATTGAGTACAGGGAAAGTGAAAGAAACAAAGAAATAAGTTGGATGAACAGAAATTTGGAAAAAGTGGAGAGTTATTTTTTTTTAGTATAATTCATGTTCCGTGGGATATATATATATATATATAAATCAACTAATTAATTAGTTTAGGATTCAATTGATCAGCTTAAGGAGGTTGAGGGATAAAAGTAATATTTTCCCAAGGAAAAAAAAAAAAAAATCTACCGTTGCCTCTCGGTTCCAATCGGGCCAATTGGCCCAAGTCCAACCACAGACCTGTGGACGTGCTGGTGTAGCAGTAATGAGCATTGGTATGAACACATTCATTATTTATAAATATATTACTTATTTAAATAAGTATTATATTTAAATTATAAAAATAAATAAATAGTATAAAAATAATATATTTATAAATATCAAATTAAATAATAAATATAAA